AGGGCAAGTACCTAGAAATTGATTTTCTGGGTCTCTGATGTGTGCATCTTCAACTTTACTAGAGATTGTCAAATTGTTCTCTAAGGTGGTGATTCTAATTATCATTCTCACTCGCAGATCGAGATTCAGCATTTAGCATTATCTATTAAAAATTGTTTTTGACTATCTGTAGGGCTAGGAATGGTATGTCGTTGTGATTTTAATTTGCATTTCCCTAATTGTTAGTGAAGCTTAGTTAGCATTTTGAAACTTTTTGGTCTTTCTGTGAGTTGCTTATTTTTATTATTAACGTTTTTTCGTATTAGAATTTTTTTTTATTGCTAGGCAGTAATCTTTTGTGCAGTGTCTTTTACTCTAGAACTTTCATGTTTTACTTTATGTACTTCTTTACATTTATTCATACAAATATTACTTTTTGAATAAATATTAGAAAATAAAAACAATAAAAATAAGTGAAGTGGTTGGACCGGTTAGCTCAAAATCCTACCATTGCTTTAATGGTGAATTGGAATTTCATATTAGAAGTACCAAGCTAATTAAGAACTTTATGAATACAAATCACACTGAGGGAGAACCCATGGTCTATCCCAATGCATACCTCTGAGATGTATAGGAACATGTGGTTATTCCTTCTGTTTTGAAATCTACAGTTAAAATTAGACACTAATTTTATATCTTAGCTTACAAATAATTGAAAATAATTTGTTAATTCTAGATAAAAAGTACATTTGCTACCATCAGTAGGGCAATTATTGTCCTCAAAATCTCCATTCTCTGAGTGCCAGGACCAGATGAGCCCAATGGAGCAGACAGGCCTCCACACCTGGATTTGTCCCTTTCCTAGCTGCTTCCCACACTAGCTTCCCACTGCTACGGCTACTTGGCCATGTCTCCTTTTTAACACATGACTCCAGAGATAGGAGGACTATATGTTATGAGTGTCTTCAGCCCACAATATGTCATCAAGACTGTAGTGGTTAAATGAGGTTGAGTATATGGCTGTTTGATTTTTTAAATTGTCATTTTTTGTGCCTCATGATCTTCTCTTGAACCCAGCTGAGAAGGCAAAACCACACTCTCCTCCCCTGCTTCTAATTCTAGATTTCGAATGATCATGTTCACTGCAACTGCTATAACTTCTTAGATGTTTTGATTCTCAGAAACATAAACAAAACACTCCAATCATGGAAAACAACCAATTCACCATATATCTTCCCACCTAAATCTTTTCTTCTTTTAAGTTCATTGATGTTAACATTAATGTCCTTCACCGCAGCAAAAGCATCCTCCAGTGCTCTGTAATCTGGGTGAGAAAGAGGGGTAGAATTCCGAAGTTCACACAGTAATAGGGGGTATTTCATCACACGCTGAATTGGTTTTATCATCAAAGAGCCCATGTCCAATAAGTTTGGTTTGCCTCTACAATAGAGATAAATAATATCAGTTTCACAAACATTTAACCTATTAACTCCTTTTCATTTCTGTGATTTTTTTAACAATTACTTCCAAAACTCTTTTTTCTCTTTTTCTCCGTTTCACTATATAAACTTTCTAAATGAAAGCAAAAGCAAAATATGACAGAAAAAAGCAAGGCTGAAAGACCCTATTGCTAAACAAAAAACTAAAAGAAAACCAATGGATATATCTGTCCACCAAAAGGGGCTCAAAGCACAATTCTCATTCATGTTCCACATACAGTTTTTTTTATAACGGGCTCTATAATAGGATGGGAAACAATTTCAGAATGTATTTTTCCATGGAAACCAAGAAAAATGAATTTTCCTGATGGTATTTACATGATAATTAGTGAGAAAAATAAACTCATTATTTAAAAATCTGAACAGATGACCTGCAAAGTAGTGAAAAGAAGGCACTGTCCTTTCTTTTTCACCAAACCGAGAAGTTGCATTCACAGTGTT